CAGGTTTCATGACCACTTTGGGCCTCAGTTCTGACGTTGAAAGTATAGGGAGTGAATGAGCTCTCCCAAGTTCTGTTCATTCCCCAGGCTGTCTAACCCTATATATGTGGCAAAAGAGGTTCTGAATACAGAAGTAAAATTGCCTCATGGAAAAAAAAGAAAAAAAAAAGAAAAGAAAAGAAAAACTGTTCAGGAAAAACTCAAGTTGTTTTCGCTTTTGCTGGCAGAAGAATATGGTTCAAATGCTCACTCAAGAACTAGCCCTCTATTATCACTATCTCTGGGATGTTTATTTTGAATGCTGAGAAATAAAAAGCCTTGCTCCTTACTTCTCAGCCCAGAAATAACCTGCTTCCCCCAGAGAAGCTATTTTTTCCCCCTGGGACACTGAGATTCAAAGAGCAGAAGATGACCAGGCCACGGAGTGCTGTGGTTCCGTGGCGCCGGGCCTGGGGAGAGTGGCTAAGGATTTACAAGGCCACAGGCCGAGCCGGTTCAGTTTACATAGTACCTGCATCGCTGCTTTACTATGAAACTCCTCTGGAAGAACAGGGAGTTTGATATCAATCTCCCTGCAGCTGCGTGTGCTTTTTTTTAACCATCTGTTATTTCCAGTGCCAACTTTTTATTTACTAGTGTTCATGCTAATGAGTTTTCTAAATGACCAATTCTTTCTCTTTTATGGCTTGTTTAGAAAAGCAATCTCTTTGCCTCATGCTAAGTCTGAGCTCTGCTTTCTTGATATTTCAGTGTGGTGGATATCCCTCACCCCCTCTCCCGTGACTTCTCAGAGCCATCAGGGTGTGAGGCAGCACCGTGGGGATTTGGAGAGGAAGGGGCACTTTCCTCTCCCTCCTCCTCAATAATAATGCTCTTCACAGGAGGAGTCCCCAGTCCTCTGTGAGACCTTCACCAACACAGCTGTAAGCCCTTTGCCCACGGGGATGGTCTTTCCTCTTTTACAAAGTCCTCGGCTCCCGTGACTAAGAATGGTATGTTTCCCCCTCCGCCCTTCATGTGGTTTCTAACTCCTGTGCTCGCTAGCTTTAAAGGTGACACTGTTTTGTGGACAGTCCTCCACCGTACATTATTTAGTACGCACACATGCAGTTATCTTGGGTAAATGTTACCAACTTTCTTCCATAGGTTCACTATTCCTTTTTTGCTCTCCTGATGTCCAGGGAGCTCCAGAGAGGGAAAGTTTTTGCTCAAGTTGCTTAAAAAAATATATCTGATCTGCCCCAAGGGCTTCTCAGAAAGGAGTGGAGAGCCCTAGGACGCATGACTGGAAGCTCCACTGCCTTATATGGGGCCTGACATGGAGTCACAGGTTCCACTGGGAAGCGAGGTCTTTACTGAAGGTAAACTCCCTTTGGCTGGTGAGGCCTCTGCAGTTGGCTGGCTGTCTTCCTGTTGGTCAGTCAGCTTAGTGCTCTCTGGTTCCTGTTTCTCTTCTGTCAAATGAGGCATCTCAGCTCCTCCACCTTTGTGGGGTCCTACCAGTGTGTCTTCTTTTTTTTAAATTTTTTTAAATCAACCTTTATTGTTCATATTGTTACAAAGGTTCCTCATTTCTTCCCCCCTCCACCTGGTTCCCACCCCACCCTCCGCCCCCTCCCTATCCCCCATTGTCCTCATCCATAGGTGCAGTTTATGTTCAGTCTCTTCCTCCCTCCCTTTCCCCGATAGTAAATCCCTTTTCAGATAGTAAATCAGTTACTTAGCATTTTCTCATATCAATAATACCACCACATGCCCAATGATACATTTCACACAAAAGACATTTCCAAATAGGTCAACCAGCCTCATCCAGGCCCCACCCAAGGCACTCACAGGTCTACACCCCAGCCCTATACTAACTCAACACATCCAGATCTAAGCCTTCATCACTTGATTCAGCAGACCCTCAAGTTCCCACAAAAGTTTCCAGCCATGTCTGAGAGGCAGCCTTGGGGCAGTGGAAGGCGAGAAGCAAGCTGTTCCGGGCCTGGCTGCTCTGGGCCTGGCCTCTGTTGCTCTGGTTCATTCCACAACCAGCTGCTACGGGTCTGGTCACTGCCGCTCCCGACCTATTTGCTCTGGACCTGGCTGCTGCTGCTCCAGGCCTGGCCGCACCCGACCCGGCTGCTCCGAGCCTGGCCGCTCCCAGCCTGGTAGCCGCTGCTCAGGGCCTGGCCGCACCAGACCCGCCAGTGTGTCTTCTTGACTGAGCTCAGCACACTCTTCTGCTCTAGTTTCTCTAATCTTCCCTTAAGAGTATTCTTAGGTGTGTTCCCATTCTTGTGAACCTGCTTGGTTGTGTCTGTTTAGAGTTCTGTTTTTTAAATCTGTGGACCTTTGGTAGACATTTTGTCTTTTCTCCTTCACCCTGGACATAATCCATAGGCTCATGAAGCCTAGCAAATTGGGACTTTGTGTGTGAGTGAGTCAGTGTTTGTGCGTGTGTCCATTTTCACAGACCGTTAGTGCTATTACCTTATTGTGGTGTTAGCTGCAAAGAAGTGGGCATGAGCAGAGTTGGAGCTGACGGTCAGGAGTAGCTATAGTTGAATGAATTCTAGAGAGTTTCTGTGGAAGGATTTTGTTCCTATGGCTTTCCCTTTATACGTGCTTGGAGAGTGTATGGATAATGATTTTATTGTACTTTCCTATGGACTGCAATAAAGGTTTTCCAGGAAAACAAGCTGCTTATCCTATCATGATGGCTTTAGTCTGACTGCCACCAGATCCTGAATCAGACCCAGCTCCCATTTTTCATGCCGTGCTTGGCTCGTGTTCTCTAGTTCGAGACATTTTTCCCCCTCAGACCAGTGGCTTCAAGAGAGACTTTTCTATTTCCTCATTGTCAGTTTTTAGTATAAAGACTGCAAAATGACGTAGTTCTTCTGCCATTGCTGTAACTAAGCACTTCGTGGCTTAAAGCAACACGAATTTATTGTTCTATAATGTTGTAGGTTGGCGGTCCAACAGGGGTCTCACTGGCTAAGATCACGGTATCCATTTCCTTTGAGACTCCAGGGGAGAATGCGTGTCCTTTCCAGCTGGTAGAGACCACCTGCATTTATAGGCGGTGCCCTCCTCCAACGCCCAAACCAGCAGCATTGAGCTGGGTCCTGTCCCTCTGCCATCAGTTTGGCCATCTAACCACAGCTGGAAAAGGTTCTCTGTGCGTGGCTCTCCCCCCCACCCCCCTTTTCTGTTACCGTTTATTATTAAAAATTAAACAATGATAATTGCAATAAATGCATAATTTACAAAAGCCCTATATTTGTTCACAGGACTTACACATACAGATTACAGTACACTCACCTGAAAGACTAAAATTAAATATAAGAACATGAATTGATTTGATGTCTGGATGTTTATGAAAAAGTAACTGTATAAATGCAAGTGTAAGTTTACATATATAGAGGAAACATTACATTCTAAAAAGGTTCCCTGATTTTAAGACTCTTGTGATTAGATTGGGCCCACGCAGATAATCCAGGATAATCTCATCGCCAGGTCTACTTAATCGCATCCGTCCTGTAAGCTGACATCGCCACAGGTTCCAGGGTTTAGGAACTGAACTTCTTGTGGTTCAATTATCTGTCTACCACAGTCCTCAAGACTTTTTTCTTTTTTTTCTCTCAGTGTAAAATTGTTTTTTATTTGGAATTAGGCAGCTGGATTCAGGTTAGATGATCCCAATTTTGTTGGCAACATCCAAAGCATCATAGTCAAGAGCCAGTCGACATATGCCTTCTTCTCGCCATCAGGCCTGATCAGGGTGTTGACCTTGGCCACATCAATGTCATAGAGCTTCTTCACAGCCTGTTTGACCTGTTGATCTTGGCATCCACAATGGACACGTGTGTTATCTTCTATCTTCTTCATGGCTGACTCCATAGTCATGGGAATTTGGTCATTACCTAGTGGTCACGCTTGTTTCTCCTGGGTGTGCTCTTCTGAGGAAGAGCCTTAGTGTCTTTGGCCTTTAGAAGGTGGGTGATGGTGGATCTTTTTTTTTTTTTTGTGGCTGTGAATGCCTTTCAGCACTGCTCTCTTTGCCTTCAAAGCCTTTGCTTTGGCTTCTGCTTTGGAAGGGGCAGGGGCTTCCTTTTTAGCTTTTGGTATCATCATCATAAAAAGGTCCTCAAGACTTTTTATTGTAAAGAAATGGTTTTCTACTCTTTGTTTAAAGGAACTGTTCCTTCCCATCAAAGAACTTTACTGTCACAGGAAATGTGCCTGTTTCCTTGTTCATATTTTTGAATTCAGTTGTCCTTCAGTGTCTGCTGGGGATTGGTTCCAGGATCCCCCTGGGATACTAAAATTCTGTGGAGCTCACCGCCCTTATATAACTTATAAACTGGGGCAGCGTTTGCATATAACTTATATTTGCATATCATATGGGCTACAGCAGGGTGTGCCTCCACATCACTTCATTTACATGGATTCAGTAGTGCTGGGCATGTGGCAAGTTTACAGGTGTGTTTTTTGTGTGTGATTTTGTTTAACTTTTGGGATTAAAAAAGTATTTTCTATCTGCAGTTGGTAGAATCCATAGATTTTAAATCAGTGGCTATGGTGGGCTGACTGCATGTTCAAACAAACTACAATATATGAAAACACAGGATTTAAGGTTCAAGTTCAGCTGTGTCTAGAGCAAGGTATACATGTTTACATGTTCCTGTTGAGGTGATAACAGCCCTGCCATTGCAATCAGGAAATGGAGGTGCAAAGGAAACTTGCACAGGGTCTTGCAGCCAGAAGTGGTGGAATCAGGGTTTAGATGTGGATCTCATTGATTCAGAGCCTGGTTCTTTTCACGCTGCCTTCCTGCCTCAGAAATGATACTGGCAAAACAAAATGAGAAATGGACATGGAAGAACTTAAAGCAATGTAAAATCTCTCTGCTTCTGCCAAGGAGATGGCGAACGAAACATTGCCTGTGGAGATTGATTGCGCTAATGGTCCTGATGAATGGCTCCCTGGGTCCATACTCTTTACCTTGTAACTGTGAGGTCCCCTCCTCTCCCCTCTCCTGCCACTGGGATTGGCCACGTGGCCCGCTTTTGCCAGTGGGGCATTAACAAATGCCCAGTAAACAGTTCAGAAGAGTGTAGGTGTTTCTAATAGTCTCTTACACAGCTGGGTGAGTTCTCCAAGATCCCTGCCCTGAGAGCATGCCCAGACTGGCCTCCTGGGGAGGCTGAGAAACACTTGGGGACGAGCCAGGCTGCCTCAGCCGAGGCCAGACTTCCAACTGAACTTGTCTGCTTGAAGTCTCCTGAACTTGTCTTGCTCAAATCAGTTAAGCCAGATCACCAGAACCACTTAGCTGACCTGCAGAGTTATGGCAGTAAACAGGGATTGTTGTTAAAGCCACTGAGTTCTGGGGGAAGATTGTTATACAGCAATGGCTAACTCATACACAGCTCTTGTCAGATATTTCAATAGCATAAGAAATATTTTAGTGTCCTTTTGAAGATCATTTTGGACTACTTGTAACTAAATATTCTTATTAAATATGTAATTAAAAATATTCTCTTAAGATTATACTGTAGGCTCAAGAGTGTGCCCAATATATCTAACCCCCCCTTTTTTAAAATATATTTTATTGATTTTTTACAGAGAGGAAGAGAGAGGGATAAAGTTAGAAACATTGATGAGAGAGAATCATTGATCAGCCACCTCTTGTACACCCCCTACTGGGTATGTGCTCGCAACCAATGTACATGGCCTTGACTGGAATCGAACCCAGGACCCTTCAGTCTGCAGACTGAGGCTCTATCCACTGAGCCAAACCGGTTTCAGCTAACATCCTCCCTTTTTTTCCTTAGCATGAAAGACCTTTAAATTCTTTGCAGTTTCAGTCGAAGGCAGACTTGTCTTCCCTTCTCAAACTGTTAGAAATAAGGCGAGCCCCCAAATTCAGGGGTCTTAGTAGAACACAAAGCATACTCAAGAGCCAGGTAGCAAGGCATAAGGGTGCGCACACACTGAGCGGAAGTCCATTCAGCCTTTTAATTCTGACACGGGTGACCTGTCCCTTACTCTTTAAAAAAATTTTTTTTTTATTTCTTTATCGATTATGGTATCACATAATTGTCCTCATCCCCCCATTCCCATCCCAAACCCCTCCTTACGTATGCCCCCACCCCCCTGCTGTCCATGACCACTGGTTAGGCTTCTGTCCCTTACTCTTGATTGGAGCTTAGGCTCACAGTCTTTCGTGATTGGCTAATTTAAAGGAAGGGGTTGACCTTTGCTGTTTCAAGATGGCGGGCCCCAGGGAGGTGCAATGGGCCAAAACGCATGAGGGCCAAAACGGTGGCTGCCAAGTCGCCCAAGCCAAAATAGCGGCTGCCTAAACTGTTCTTTGACAGAGAAGATAACTTGTTTATTCTCACAAAAAGCTATTTATTATTTCTAATATAGTGACTTTGGACCCCCAGCCTGCAGTAGGAAATGGACTCAGAACTCGCATATATACATGTACAACAAGAAAAGTTCATGAAACAGTTCCTGCCCTTATGCCTCTGATGTTTTCTCTTCGGTTTCCTTTATGTGAGAAATGCTGGCCAGGAGTCGCCACTGTGGCCCGTTTCCGGCTTTGTAAATGAGGTTTTACCAGCACACAGTCGCTGTTCTCCTTGGTTGCTTCTTGTGGTCCCAGGTGCGGGCAGAGCTGAGCAGCTGTGACAGCTTGTCGCCCACAAAGCCCCAGTGCTCGTCTGGGGCTCAGGAGCACAGCTCTCTGACCCTCATGCTTGACTGAGTCATGACCCCTGTGCGTGGCGACCCGCTGTTTAGAAAGTCTGTTAATTCTCTTGATGCTCCTATGGAAATTACACTGTAAATCTGGCAGCTGTGAAACTAACCCACTTCCTGTGTCATCCTCAAACTTTCTTGTCTATTTACTTAGATCCAACAGTTACTTTTTTTGCTATTTAACATTGTACCCGATTGGCTTACATAGGACCACTTTTCAAGCCATTCTAAAATGCGCCATTATAAGTAGCATTACTTCTTCCCACCCACATTTTTCTACTTTAATTGAGGCTCTCTTGTGGAAACTAGCGGGAATTCACAGGGACACGCATTCTAGTCAAGTGCTAATTATTTATTCATTAGGTTCCAGCCATACCCTTCTTTGTGATTTAATGGAAGTCCATTCCTGGAAGAGGCAGGGAGATACTGTTCCTGGCTTCTTTTATTTTTTTTATTTATTATTTATTTTTTTAAAAAAATATATTTTATTGATTTTTTACAGAGAAGAAGGGAGAGAGATAGAGAGCTAGAAATGTTGATGAGAGAGAAACATCAACCAGCTGCCTCCTGCATACCCCCCATTGGGGATGGGCCCGCAACCAAGGTACATGCCCTTGACCAGAATCGAACCTGGGACCTTTCAGTCGGCAGATGGACGCTCTACCAGTGAGCCAAACCGGTTCGGCCCTGGCTTCTTTTAGAACACCTCCTGGCAACTGGTCCTGACCGTCACATTTCTGAATCCCGGTGCCATTCTTTTATAAAAAGATTTTAGAGATGTTAAACCATGGACTTTTGGGGTTGGAAAGATGGGGGAAAATTTCTTTTTCCCCTACTCAGGCCTAATCGGGTCCTTCGAGGCCAGATTTCTCTAGCACCTTAATTTCCCAGACCTGTCTGGAAAGGGCAGCCATCTTATTTATGTGTTGTGACTAATGAGATGATGAAAAAGAGCCGAGGAGGCAAAGGCTTCAGGATGATCTGGAAATATCTTTCTAGAATCTGAAATGCCCGGTGAAGAATGGCCACTGGCCCACCTGTTTGTTGGCAGCCAGCACGGAACGAAAATGCAGGGGCTTCAGGACCAGCGTGAAGAGCTCAGGTGCTGTCTGAATGAGGGAGGCTCTGGGACTTCAGAACAGGTTCTTCTGGGCATTTCCTGTGCCCACTGCCCGCCTAGGTCAGGTGGGCGGCCCCTGTAATTAATAAGGGCGCCCCGGGTGCTGGCAGAGAAACCTGCCAGAACTTGCTTCATCACACAGAAGTGGAGAATCCACATTCGGGCTCCGGGAGAGGAGCCAGGAGCTGCCTATAGCCCGGCCTGGCGACTCTGGGAACCCCAGGAATCCCCTTGGCTTCCTCTTCACCTCCATCTGTCTGGCTGCATTGTTCTCCCTGCCTCCTTCTGAGTTTCTTGTCCCGAGGGCTGAACTCCTGGAAGGTCTCTTGTTCCTGGGGAAGCCACCCGGGAGCTTCGGTAATGCCACTGGCATTTCCTGGGAACTATCTCCTCAGGGTGACACCCAGAGCGGGGCAGAATGTGGGAACTGCACCATGAATTTGGCTGGTGCTGGGAGTCTTAAGGGAGCATTTTAGAAATGTGTGGAGCAGTTTGGTTATCAGTGCTTGAGGGACACTACTCACATCTACTGGGTGGGGACCAGGGATGCTAACCATCTGTGATGGCTAGAACAGTCTTAGACCCTGGAGTGTTCCACTGTTGCCGGAGGAATTCAAGGGCCAGATTTCCCAGACACAAGTGGGAGTGAGGTTCTTAGAGTACCACGGAAATAAGCATTCTCCGAAGCCCCCACGGGAGGAGGGGGTGTGGGAGAAGGCTTTATTTGGGTGAGGTTACATTTCTTGGGTTGCAATGGCCCATTCCCCTAAGCCAGCCCTGCAAGAAGGGCAGCTGGGAGTCCCGCAGAGCCAGAAGCAGGGCCAGTGTCCAGAGCTTCCATCCCATGGTGCAGGCGGGTGTGGTTCAGCATCCAAGCCAATTACAGCCCATTAGTCTATTGTGTGGAGTCCAACATGGCTGGGTGCCACATGGGCGCAAGGAAGCACATCCCTGCCACAGGAGAACGGAAACCCAGCATGCCAGGGGGAGAGGGCAAGAGGGAACTTGCTTTATTTGGAAGTTTAAATACTCAGGTTCCCGCACTTACAGTGACCACGCCTATTCTGGCCACTGATTGGCTTCGAGGTGTGATTGATGGGCAGATAGGCCCATTCCCAAGTCTCTCAGAACTTACTGGGCATGTGTCAAACTGCCTTGTCCACTCCCTTTCCCCATCCACCAGCGGGGAACAGACTTGGAAAGTGCTAAGTGCAACTTTTGGCAAAGCTGTATAAATGGCATGCCTATATCTAGTCTTCCCTTCCCTCCTTTCCTGATAAATAATAATCAGGTTATTACAAGGACTTTTTCACTGTGAGATGGTCATGGATGAAAAAGAAAACTGGTTTGTTACCTGCACCTGCAGACCTCAGTTACACATTAACAAAGACCACCCCTGCCACCTCCACCTCACCTGCGTCAATGTCAAGCACAAGCACCTAATAACCCCATCATATCTTCTACATTAGACTTGCCCAACGAATTGCAAATTGAAATCTGTGTTAGGTTGGTTGAAAAAAAAATTATTTTCCTTTTGTTCTCATTTATGTTACTCTTAGGGCAACAAATTTATGTTTGAAATTGCATTTAGGAAGTGTTTCTAAGAGTTTGCTTTCAGATAGTAAAGGAGCGTTAGGAGTTTGCTATGAGCCTGGGGGCTTGGCCTGGGTACAATTTAAAACACAGAGCTCAGGGGAAGTGACTTGTAAGTTCCCCTTGGCTGGATGAGTCAGCCGATTTAAACTCTCAATACTAACAAGTTAAAAAAAACAACAAAAAACTGTGGTTCATGTATTGGATGCAACTGACAGAAAAGCGGAACAGAGATGTTGGCCCCATACTGCAGACCCTCTCCCCTCCCATGCCTGGCTGTGGCTCCTGCTGGGCCGGGGTCCTTGGGGTCCTGGGTGTAGGGCTCTTCATCATTTGGAGAAATCCTAGGAGTAGGGGATAAAACCAGATTATCACCTGTGTTTCATAGACACCACTTGGTAGGGTTTCAAGGGGGATTTGTAGATTTGTGTGGGAAAATATTACACCTTGATTTTTATTCACCTCTAACAAAAAAAAATCAAGCAACTCCTTAACTTTTGAATGTTGATGTCAAATCACAGAAATATTAGTGTTGTCTGTGACTTGGTCACCAATAGAAATTCAACAGTTTATGTCACATCATAGGTGGCTAACAGATATCTTGAAATATTATGACTGAAATTATGGCGGTTATAACCTGTTACTACATAGTGTTATTTAATGCATTGCCAAGTAAGCATATGTGTTACTATATCACAATAAAAAAAATATTTTGATCACCATATCTATATATATAAAAGCCAAGCGAATGAACGGTGGGACGACCAGAATGACCAGTGGCTATGACGAATGACCAGAAGGAAAACCGCTTATGGTCTGGGCCGCCAGTCAGGTGTCCAGGAGAGGTGCCCAGCACAACCACCATCTTTCTGTGTTCTCTCTCCACTGCATACTACCAAAGAGGGCAGCCACATCACACCACGGCCTCTTTTCACAGAGTTTGTCAGCAGGGAACAAAACCTCATTACCTGTCGAGGGAGAGGCTTAGAAACGGAAGCTGTAAGTGTCCCTGACACTAAAGCACCTTTGAAGCTTCAACTCATCTGAGAGCCAACAACAAACGTGTGTACACCCTGCAAAGAGCTTTGACACTAATAACTCCCCCTGGCTGGCCCTGCCCCTGATTTCCCTGCTTCCCCTCCACCAGGCGTGGATGACTGGACTCCACAAATGCACGAATTCGTGCACCAGGCCTCTAGTTTAAATATAATTGACTTCCTCTGTATTCCTATGTATTTCATTTTATGAATTAGAAATCCCAAGAAGGCCCTGGACAATGTGCTCAGTGGTTGAGCATCAACCTATGAATCAGAAGGTCACAGTTTGATTCCAGGTCAGGGCACATGCCCAGGTTGCAGGCTTGATCTCCAGGGAGGGGAATGCAGGAGGCAGCAGATTGATGTTTCTCTCTCTCTCTCTCTCTCTCTCTCTCTCTCTCTCTCTCTCTCCTCTCTCTCTCCTCTCCCTCTCCTCTCCCTCTCCCTCTCCCTCTCCCTCTCCTCTCCCTCTCCCTCTCCCTCTCCCTCTCTCTCTCAAGTCAATAAAAACATTTTTAAAAAGTCCAGAGAAGGGTCCTTAGGCCTTACAGTCTGCCGAGGGGTCTGTGACACACAGTCCTAGATTTTGGAGTGCTCTGGTCTGGACAGTACACCCTCCACCGCTTCCCTATCTATTCTGTTAATCGGGAGCTGACTCCTCCTGACTTGGCCTGTCGCCAGTACTTCCAGGTAACAGTGGAGAGGTGTGGGCTTACCTCCAACGGTTTTATTTCCTTCTTGGACCTGGTCTAAGCATTGAGCCTGATTAATCCTTGGTTTATTCTCTTATTATGCACGAGGAGGTAATGTCAGAACATTCCTCCTGGAAGGCTGTAGTGATCAGCACAAGGTACATGATGTGTTTAAAGCCAAAACGTACTGATTATCTGAGTCCTAGACAGAAGTGTGACTTCTGGTTCAGTTTTTCAAGTGGAGAAAAACTGCAAGAAAATTAACAATATACAGGCCAACTTCTCTTTTCCTGTTCTATGTCTCTGAGTTACACAATCACAGGAACTCTAAGAAGTACTGCATTGCACAAGAAAGATGTTGTACACACGGTTGCTGGGATGTTTTCCTTGCTACCCTGGGTGTGAGGCAGAGGCAGACAGCCCCGTGGGTGTGTATGTCATCCTGGTGGTTACCTTGCCCACAGTGAGTCCAGTGGAGGATGCTACTCGGTATCTGTAGTCGGATTTTTGGGACCAGCATTAGCCTTTTTTCTCTTTCTAGAAACTTCTGTCGATGGGAAGTGAGTTTGCACAGAACAGCCCCCTCTGCCCTGCTCCTTGCTGTCCTCCGGGCACGGAGTCATAGCTGGGCGGCCAAGTGCATCGCTCTCCTCTCGCAGCGTCTACGTCTA